TTAACAGTACTTTAAAGCCCTTTCTAGCAGAATTCAAAGAATAATGAACTTTGGGAAAAGTTCCTCAAGGCATCAATAATATCGTCAGGGCAGCCTTCTGCACTACGTTATTTTTTTACTGCGACCGCCGCTATTTGAACGTGTCACAGATAAGTATATGTGTGCGTTTGAAACATGGTTTCACGGTAGGGTCAACAGAGCTGGTTAAAGAAAAAAAATAGCCGTGCGTCTTCGCAGCTCTCTTTTCCCATGCTACTCAGCTGTCATTAACTAATGCATAACAAAGTGGTCTGTCATCAGAAGCAAACGGTTCACAAACCTGAGCCGTTTCCATCAAATAATTTTTCACATGAAAGAGCTGGGTCCTGAATAGTGTCCGATTGTAGTGCGTTTACTTTGGTCTCGGGCAACCCTGGGTGGCCACAAATGGAACACATTGGCCGAATTTACATCAGAATATGGTCTTAAGATTGAGACACAGTGCTGCGCGATAGGGGGTTGAATGGACCAGTGCCAGGGCTTTGACACAGCAGGTCTGCTGCAGTGACTGTCACTAGGGGTAACCCGGGTCCACGCAAAAATCTACTGGCTCGAGACATTTAATGTTAATAAAATGCTGCTCTTATCAGAGACTTGGGCATTTCTCTAACTAGCGAATGTGCCTACAAGGCGCAAGAATAAGCTGCGCTCCGTAGTATTATTAATAATAATAATTTTTGCATTGGATACAGCGCCTCATCGCATCTTCGAGACGTGTCAAAGCGCTTCACAGAATATACTGTAAAGTGAATTGGGCGAACGCGGCAGCCAATTGCGCACAGCAATGTCCCACAAACAGTCGTGGATTGAAGTGGCCAGATTATTATTATTATTGTTTTGTTCTGTAAATGCGTCTGTGCGATAATTATAATCTAATAATAATAATAATCCTTCCATTTATTAAAGTGCCTTTCACGTCAGGGGGTTGTGCACATGTCGAAGTGGGTCACAGGGTGTAGTAACTGAGTTTTATGGGCAAATTACCACAGGATGCTCCTTGTGAAATGTTGTGAATTTCACCCCCAGACTTTGCAAAGTAACTCCACGGGTGAGTGACTTTCTTGTGCATTTCAATAATGCATTCACTGCGGTTGGCTAATTAGCACATCAAATGCATTATGAAATGCCGCAACATTTCACCTCCCCCCCACCCCCCCCACCCACACTCCCCACCTCCCTGTTTCCCCAGTGATAGACTGTAGCTGTAGTGTTTACTTTTTTCTTGTTTACTGGCGTTAGTGTTGATGCTTTAAATGGTAATCCTCGCATTTGGTACACTGCCCCTCACGCCGGGAGGACGTCTCAAAGCACCTCGCAGGGTTTTAACTGTAAAGTCTAGCCACTGTGCATTTTGCAGGCTTTTTTACTTCGATAAACTGGCAAAAGCAGGCAGACAGCAGCGACAAGATGTGCATCAATTTATTGTTTGCTTCCTGTTTAAACAAGAGAGAGATAGTGACTTTTCAGAGTTTTGGGCCTGTTTAGGACTCCAGGACTCGAGCTATAAACAAGGTAGTAAGGTTTGTGGAATGTAAATTCACACCTCCTGTTTGTTTTTGGTCTTTTCTGTCTAATGTATTCTGGATGTGGAATTTCCTGGCAATCAACTGTAGATTATTTCTTGCTAAAACAATCATTAGCCTTCCTGTGTGATCCTCATCATTCATCGAACACACGCTGACAGCCACCAGCACCAGATAATGAAACACGATTAGTCTTGCTCCATTCACCCCCATCACCTCCACCAACACACACATGCACACACACACATACACACACGCACAACATAAAACACCTATGCACTCACAAAACACGACACACACAGATACAAACACAAAAATACACAACACATACACAAAACACACAAACAAAAAAATATACACATATACACATTAAAAACACACACACACCACGCACACATACACAGAAACACACAAACAGCCAAACAACATACACACACAGGTCCAATTTGCGATGGTCACATAAGAGATGGAGAGTTTGCAACATCCTAAAGCCGTCAAAGCTATCAGGAGAGATTGAACACCTTGGAGCGTTTCTCGCCAGAGATGAGATGGTCGAAGGGAAGGGTGAAAAGGTTTCAATAAAGCGGACATTTTCACTTGTTAGTGAGCCCGAAACGAGGAAGCACATAGCTAAGGTAGCCAGCGGTCGATCGAAAAGGGGAGTTTAGGAGGAACTTCTTCACGCAGAGAGTGGTGAGTATGTGGAATTCACTGCCAGAAGTTGTGGCTGAAGCCGAAAGCACCAGTGTATGTTAGAGGAAACAAGATGCGTACACAGGGGAGAAGGGAATGGAGGGGAATAGGATGGGTGAAGGCTGTTATGGAACACTGGCACGGACTTGTGGGGCTGAATGACCTGTTCCGTGTGGTGTCGGTTTCTGTGTTGTATCATGCTTTGCATTTCTGCATAATGGGAATCCGTACAAAACCCTGGCAGAATGCACGACAAGTAATGCATAAAAAAACAACCCCACAAAGCTGACAAAGATTACTTCACAGCTGCGTGAGAGAGAGTTTAGATTTGACAGGCCACTTTGAGAGGAATTTACAGCGTATCAATAGTCTCCACATACAGAGAGAGAGAGAGCGAGAGAGAGAGCGAGAAAGAAAACAGAATAACTGTGCTTCTGGGTGGCGGGGCTGGACACAACTCGATAAAAAGAACAAAATACACAACAAATATATCAATGCCAACACCCAAGAGTTCATCAAAGCCAAAACATTTTTTTTAACGTAATAAAAACCCAAACAAAAAAAAACAGCCAAACTTTTCTCAGAAATCAAAACTTTTCACTCGAAATCATTTCACGCACGGACGCAATGTCAACTTGGGAAGCGGCCAGAGTTTGGGGGCCAAGACAGACTTGGTAAGGTTTGTGACAAGTGCCTCCCTGCTTTTGGCTGCCAGTTTTTGGACGCATTTGGTCATTCAGACACGGCTGACCTTCACCCAGACGCATGTCACTTTTAAAACAAAATCCCTTATTTTGTTGCCGGTCGTGTTTTAAGCAAAACTTCTCAGCTGTTAAAAATGATATTTTCCACCGGCTGGCATCCTTCCCCCTTGTGTGTGTGTGTACATATATATATATATATATTTTAACGTGTGTATTTTGCTGAGAACTCAAGTTGCGTCTAGGTGACTATGTTTAGACGTAGCGTGGCATTAACTGGGGGCTGGGGGGAGATTGATGTCTTGAGTCCTGCCTATTGTTGTGACGAACCCGACGGAAACACCTCCTAATTCCCGCTCCCTGGGTGGCTCTTGCCTTTAATCATTGTCTGCAAATGATCAGGACAGGATGGGTCACCCACCCACCCTCTCTCTCCTACCCCCCCCCCCCCACCCCCCTCTCTCTCTCTCTTCCCTCCCTTCTCCACACACACCCACACCCACGCTGTTTGAGTTGCATTCGCGCAGTACCACTATGCGATCTGTCAACACAAGTTGTTTTCCTAAAAGCAAGCTGCTCGAGGCATTTGAGACGTACAAAGGGGGGGGGGGGGGGGGAAAGAGAAAAAAAAAGGAAAAATAAGTTGCGATTTGCATGACAAGCCTTCTCCTCCCTTAAACAAGACCAACTCTCTCCGTGGTGGGAGACTCGGGTTAAGCTCTGAAATAGGCAGCATCTGTTTTGGCTCACCCTATAGATTCCCTTCTCTTGCACAGCCACGGTGAGGAGAAACAAAGAGGAACTTGTACAAAAGGTGATTTTCTTTTCGAGAGAGCCTAAAAATGGCATAAAGGGGGGAAAACCCACCCACAACACTGTAAATACTTACATCTCCCACCTGTGCCCCCAAGCTGAACTCTCCCACACATTGGGAAGCAAACTCTTTGACGTTGCGTAAAACCCCATCTCAAATTATCCCTTTGCACAATGCAAAACACATTTCAAGCTGCAGACCAGACCGTCCGGACTGCATCCAGGTGCTACCCTACAGCGTTCATCTTATGTGATCAGAGACGAGAGATGGAGCCCTCACATTGTCATCCTCTCTCTCTCTCTCTCTACCCACTGCCACTTCTAGTTCAGCATTTAGGTTGCCTCCAGTCCACGCTTATAGAATAAGTGTCAGTCAACAGTTTATGAGACAGTGGGGCAATCGCAGCCAAGACAAGGGCTAGACCAGGTCTCGGCTTGATAATCCCACCCACACACCCACTCCACCGATAAAACTGGTCATTCACTTCATGGCTGTTTGTGAGGCCTCCCTGTGCACAATTGGCTGCCATGTTCACCTACAAAAATACACAGTCACTCCACTTTTTGGGATACCCTGTGAAGTGCTTTAAGACTCCCTCCCACCGTGAAAGGTGCTGCATCGATGTAAAGACTATTCTAATTACGTGCACAAAGGATGGGGCTTGGAGCAATTCCGTTCGACACAAAGATCCAAGAAATATTTTGCGCTTAGCTGGTCAGGTTGTGAAAGGACCAAGGATCCAGATGTTCAGGGCCAGGACTGTGCCAGAAATGTGCAAACTTTATGTTGTCTACTTTGAAATACGGATCACTTAAGCATCCATCAGAACCAAAAAAGATCAAATCACCCACCGGGTTGAGAGAAAAAAAAGCACAAACAAAATTATAGAAAAAAAACCCTTAAGATATTGTCACCTCTCATATAGGTACATCACTTGATCATTGCCAGATCTTGTGCCATTTTGTTCCACTTGTTAAATCATTGCCGTTGGTTTTCCCAGCACTGTGTTGGCAAGATTTTTGGCTGGATGAGAGGCTGTGCACGGGCCAGAATAATTTGGCACAGAGAAGAGGCATTTGCTGTAATCTGCAGTCACGCTACTTAATTCAGTCAGAGTCTTTGGCGGGATTTGAGAGGAGCAGGGGGAGATTTGCGCACGTGTCTGGAAGATGCCTTTCCAATTAAGCCATTGACACGTAATCTAACGCAGGTGTAATTCTTCTTCTTCAGGTGTGCAAAACCAGAACCATTGACTTGCCTGACGGAGTGTCCCAATATGCTTGGTTTCCCTGTCTGGAGGCAATTCACAGCCTTCCATTCAAGTTCTGGCTGAAGGTAAGTGAGGGTTGTGGACAGCAGCTTGAGACGGATTGATGACAAATCAAGCAGTTTTGGCAAGCACAAGACTTTGGCAAATCGTTCATTTCAGGACATAAATAGTTTGCGTGCAGATTTCCTAAGAAGAAAAGTAACCAACCCCACCCACGGTTCTTAAGGAGGCATCAGTGATTGATACAATCCACTGAAAATACTTGCATGTCATCCATCCCAATGACCCACAGGAACTCCCACTCCCACTCAATCTTCTCCCACACCGGAGTGAGCTCGGGAACTCCGCAATTTCCGAGTCGCTGATTACTTTTGCGACTTGGAATTGCGGTCATGATTTAAAAAAAAACTTTGAGTTGCACGAATGCACAAGTATTCCTTTACACACATCTCTGTTACTTTACAGAGACACATTCTAACAAGGGTTTAGTATTTACAAAGATAGTAAGCAAGGCAAAAAATAATAATAAGAGAGCTTCCCTCTTCCCCTTTGCCTCACATTGCTCCAGTGATTTGTGAGACATTCCTGTGTGCAAATTGGCTGCTACATTTGCCCACAAATGCACATGACATGCAAGGATGATTGCTGTTATTATTACTATTTTCCTTCAGCATTTGTTAATATTCTGATTTTCTATAGACAATGGGGTGGGGGTGGAAGGAGCTCAGTGGGAGAAAGGAAAGAGTTAATGAAGAGACGGTGAAATGTTTAGGACGCCATCCCAACGGAAAGTACCGAAATGCAATAGCTTTTACACAAGACTTGTTAGTAGAAAGTTAAGGAAATGAAAGAACCCTATAAAAATATATTATGGGTTCTCGAATAAAATCTAATGGCATATAACCATTAAGTGTAGCAGGGAAACCACACCAGAGAAAACTGTGTACTTAATAGTCCTTTCTATAACACCACCCACCCCCCCCCCCCCAACTAAATGTTAATCTTTCCCATTTTTTTCTCTCTCCCTAATGAGGCTTACTTTGCTCAGCCGATGGTGGCTACCGCAGTCATTGTCTACCTGGCTACAGATGGAAGTAGTCTCATGAATCAAAGACAGGAATCAATTGCAGTTCAGTTGGTTGACACAAAGGATCAGAATCACAGCCTGGGTAAGTTCTGCTCAAAGAAACACACGCACGCACACACGAGCACGCACACGCACGCACACGCACGCACGCACGCGGCAAAAAAAAATCAGCAAAACATACAGTCAATTCGCTTCACAGTATATTCTGCGAAGGGCTGAGAGACGTCTCGAAGACGTGATAAGGCGCCCGTATCGAATGCAAGAACAATCCCGCAGAGAGAGTCCTGTAGAGTGGGAATGTGGCTCAGAATAATGGTAACTGATAGTGCTGAACGATTCAGGTCCCCGGGGGGTGGGGGGGGGGGTCAGTAGGCCAATGACACACGGGTTTGTAAGCGATAGCGTCCATTCCATCTCGCGCAAAAGTCGCTGCGCATTCGTTTTCGGGTGGAAGTCTTTTTTTAATTCGCTCTGCCTTCTTTCTTCGTGTTTCAAGTTTTTTTTTTAGAAAAAAACAGGCCAAAATAGGTATTTTTTCCTTCCTCACTCCTCTCCTCCCTGTCTCCCGCCTCTTGGCCGAACGGGCAGTTTAAAAATAAAACACAAGGGGAAATCGTGTAGCCGGGCCTGGAGGGGGTTGGGGGGGAAGGGGAGTGCGATGGGGGGGTGGGGGGGTGGAGGGGGCAGCTTCTTGTTGACGTTCAACTGATCAGTGTTTGTCTTTTTGCCTTTGTTTTCCACAGGAATGCACCTTTTGAAGTGCAGGAACAACCCTCTCATTATTCCAGTCATGCACGACCTCAGCCAGCCCTTCTACAGGACCAGAGCCATCCTAATTACCTTCCATTCACAAAACGTCGCAATCTCTGGGGTGGCCATGCGCTCCTTCCACAACTTTGACCCCGTCACAATTAGCAGCTGCCAAAGCAGTGAGATGTACAGCCCCGCAGAGCAGAGGTGAGCCCCCGATTCCACCTTTCACCTTTCCACTGGTCAGTCGTTTCGCCAGATGAAATAACGATGGCGGTCACCTCTAACATTAAAGGCCCAACATGTCGGAAATTCCTCGTCCGTCAACGGTTTACACTTAAAGCAAGACTTGTGTTCTTTTCCCCACCCCCGTAATAATAATTAATAATCCTTGCATTTGATACGGCGCCTTAACACGTCTTTGCGACGTCTCAAACCGCTTCACGGAATTACACTGTAAGATGGAATGACCGTGTGTTTTGTGGGCAGCCAATTGCGCCCGGCAGCGTCCTGCCAATAGTTGAAGGCACGTCACCTCGAAGCCAGCTCAGACCCAGGGAGATGCCCTAGTTATGGACGCTAGGTGCACACTAGCCAAAGTCGCATCTAGTTACTGGGAAAGCAAAGGTTATAGACAGTGTAGATAGTGAAACCTTAGATTTATTGATAAAACACACGGGTGAAGCATAGGCTTGAAAGCTGCGAAATAGCAAAAAGTTGTTGTGTTTTTTTTTTACGAGCTATTAGGTACTTGTATTTCCATCTCATTAGTTAGAGTACCGTTATCTACTCCAGGCCCAGATATTTATAGTCACCAAGTGTTAAAAAAATCTATAAGCCTTCGGTTTAAATTCAGCTGATAAGAGTGTTTTCGCATGAACCGGGCGCCAAGGTGCAGCGTGGTAGACAGCGAAGAGGGCGCCAAGCAGAAATGGGGCATTGATACTTCCCACTCCGATGGCATTGGAGCTCTTAATGGACCCAGTGGGGGAGGGGGGGAGGGAGGGAGGGAGGAGGAGGGGGGCTGGGGGCAGTTTAACTCAGACTGGGAAGCGATGCAGCCAACTCAGCCAGAGACCGATCCCTGCAAACGTGCGACTCAGTTCCGCGACACTTAATTCGCCTACAGAACGCACAGTCGCTACACTTTGCGGTACACCTTGCGAAGCGCTTTGAAGCGCCCTCTTGTCCTGAAAGGCGTTACGTCAAAATGCAAGGATTATTCTAACACCGCATCGTCGGACCCCAAAAATATTTATTCCACCGGAATAACAAGAACGTTTTTTTTTTAAAAAAAACGCTATCTTTTTTTTAAAACCGATCTCTTTAACTTCAATAAAGACGCTGATTCCAACATGGAACAGCTTGTGACGAACGGACTGTTTCCATACCCTAACTTCTGTGTAAATTTCGTTAAAAAATCTGCTTTTGGATTTTTGGTAAAGTGGGTGCCTTTTGTTATTTCCTGTGAATACCTTTGGGTATTTTCTGAAGGGAAAGAAGTGGACTTGCCCACAGGATGCCAAATGCTTTGGCCAGGCACCCTCTCTGTTTGGCGACGTTCACTGTCAAGTCTGATCCCGGGAGGTCGAAATCCTTGTTACAAAGTCCTGTATTACAAGAGCCACAGTTATTTTACTCTCTTGTCCTGCCCCACCCACTCGAAACACGGCAGCCGATTGCGCACATCAGTGTCCCACAAGCATTCGTGGATTGAGTGACCAAATTGTTATTCTTTTTGAAAAGAAATTATTGCGAATATAACGCAGGTTCGATTCTATAAATTCTTTCTGTTCCCTCCCTCCCTCCAGCTGCGTCCACTACTCCTGTCAAGCCACAGAGTGTCAAGAGTTGAACCTTAAACACGCAGAGCTGAACTGTACGGGTAGCGGGCATTATAACAGCGATCAGTGTACGTTGACCTGCCATCGAGGTTACATGCTGCACAGCCGAAGAGATGAGGACGCTTCCAAATGGCAGGTCTGTTTGCACTCTTCATGTATTGGCGTTGCGGCCCCCCAAAAAAACAATCAGATCGATTTACCAGATCAGGTAAATTTCCAGACTTTTACTCGCGTGGGTTTTTCCCCTTTGGAATTAATAATTAACTCGTGTCACGATAAGGGTCTGTGATTTTGCAGATAAGTTCTCTTGCAAACCGAGGTCCTTAAGTTTACCAATGGTTTGAGAATCGCCAACAAAATATACCGTCAGTTGACTTTACAGTATATCCTGTGAAGCGCTTTGAGACGTCTCAAAGACCTGGTAAGACGCCATATTAAATCCCAGGATTATTATTATTATTATCATCATCATCATCATCGCCAGTTAACAGTATAACTCAGCCTTCCAACCCAGCTCTACATCAAGGGGATTAGAGTCCTGCCAGCATTTCAAATCATGCTTGATTTTACTATATCTTCCCCAGACAAAGCTCGACACATTAAATGACTGGAGTATTGGCAACACTTGTGCCACAGACTTCTGGATTTGGCACCGGTGATCCTAAATAAGATATTGTTGTTTACGCCTGCTGTAAAGGAGTTGTACCAAAATGATACCCACGCCACACATCACCGCTAGTGTCGCTCCATGTTCCTGCACTATTTTTGAAGGGAAAAAATCATCTAAAACTCAGTTTTGAAAAAGAACAGAAAACGTAGGGAATGTTCGTTCGCTCAGGCAGAACTCTGACAGGAAAGAGTTTCTGGGTAGGTTTTTGGTACAGTTGACTAATCTTCCATCACACCGTTTGCTCATGTGTTAGTCACAGACAAACTGGATTCTGCTTTCAAAATCCCAGTCATTAACAGTGTAACATCCCCCATTCTGTGTGTAAAACTTAAGACAGTCCAACATGGAGATGCTACAAATTAGAATCCGTACACTTCAAATACCCGTTTAAACGCTAGCTGCCTAATTTGCCACATTTCCTAACACTTTCATTTTTATGATATGATATCATTACAAAAATAATCCATATGTTGTGGTATAGTAACTTTCATGTTGGCAGGACATCTCAAAAGGCTTCACAGATGATGTTGTAAAGTGAAGCGACGGTGTATTTTCTTAGTGGACAAATGTGATAGCCGATTTACACACAGCAATGTTCCTGAAACAGACACCGAGTGAGTGACTCATTTTATTTGGGGGATTGTTGGCCAGGACAGAGACAGAGAGAGAGAAACTCCCTTCTCTATTCGAGTAGCATCACGGGATCTTTAAAGTCCAACTGGAAAAGGCAGACGGGACCTTGGTTTAATGTCTCATCCAAATGATGTCACCTCCGACAATGAGGTGCTCTGAATTGGAGTGTCAGCCTGTAGGCAATAATGAGCATCAAGTCTTGATGGGGGGGCTTGAACCCACAACCTTATCACATTCAAAACCGTAATGAAATAGTGAACATTATTTGCGACAGTTCGTGCAGCAAAAAAATCAATGTATTGATTGATTTCAATGCTTATATTGTTACCTAAATTGGTCACTCGCTTCCTGGTGAACATTGCTACGTGCAAACAGGCTGCCGTCAGAGAAAAAAATAATGTACGGGAAAGCCAGTGAGCTGGAATCTGTCAAACGGCAGCTTGAGGAAAGCGTAAACACAAGTAAAGTAATCACAAACAAGGACTGCCCCCTCAAGGGGCAGGTTTGCGGAGAAGCAATCTTAGCTACTGTCAATTAAAGTTAATGTATTCAAAGGCTTTTAAACCCAGAGGAACAGAAAATATGAATTAGTGATTTCCAGAAGACATTACCATTCAGAGCCAACCAGCCATATCAAGTGCCGACTGTACCTAATTAAGACCAATGTTTTGGTGTTGGCCACAACCTCCCCACAGGAGGCTCTTTTTATTTTGAGTTGGAACTGAGCATGTGCGAGGCATGCGCGTGTGAGCTCTGTGTTAAGAGAACCGAGTACTTTAGCTGGAAGAAAACATTGGTCCAAGACCATAGCAATTTCCTTGTAGATACTCCGGGGAAAACCTGTGGGGAGGGGGCGGCAAGCAAAATAGTAATCAACTCTCAGTGACTCGAATCACAATCTACTTCATCTCTCTCTCACACACACACAGACACACACACAGAAAGTTAAAATTGCATAAATATATTGTTGGGAAGGTGGCATTTTTTTTTGTCTCTCGGTTAAGCACGACCCCTTGTTTAATTTTTTTGTTTTAATTTTTTTTTAAATCCGAATGTGATCTCTTAAAACAGATCAGTTCAGTTCCTGGGACAATGTGCTCTGTACACTCTCTGACCTACCAAAGAGATTTTTTTTGTGTATTTACCACAGCGCAGTGTTAATACAAGTTTATAATAATAATAATCCTTGGACTGGGAGCAACATCTCTCACATAAGGAGAATGTCTTTGAAGAGCTGCACAGGATACACAGTCAAGTGTAGTGACCGTGTTTATTGTAGGTGAACAATTTTCGGTTTTAATGCCTAATGCCTTGCCTGAAATGACAGCACCTCCGACAAGGCAGCGTTCTCCCAGCACGGCATTGGAGTGTCAGCCCGGACGGACTATCAAAGTCCCGACGTGAGGCTCGAGTCCACAGGTGTCTGACTGAGAGCGCTACAGACTGAAGCTGGCAGACTACAGCAAATTACATTTGCTAAAGCCTTTCACTTCGGGAAACACATCAAGTGATAACCCTTCCCTCAGCCATGCAGTCTGTGCCATGGGGCAGGATCGGGGTGGTGGGGGCGAGCAGGAATGCAAGCCATGGCCTCCGCCTGCACCCTTGTCTCAGAAGCTCGCAGGGAGCAAGAGAGCCCAGAACTAAAGATCCAGCGTTAGTATTTGTGGTTGTAAATAGTATTTATTCCTGAATGGAGATGAAGGAGCTGGAGTTGAGCCATACAATCACAACCATCTCGTCTAGACTTTGTACTTTGCAGAGCATGAAACTTGCAACTTGTGCCTTTGTGGAGAATATGAATCAAAGCGTCATTTCCGCAGTTTGGGGAAGAGGGAGAGAGAGGGAAATGGCACACAGCAGTCATCCCATAGAACCTGACTAGAAAAATTGGTTATACAGTGAATTGGTTTCCATAAACTTTCACGATTTATGGAGCCCTTCAACACTTCATAAAGCCTTTACTGGCAGGGAGAGCTCTTTAAATCAGGACAAAATAAGCTAAAAAGAAGCAAGGTCTATTATGGCTTTCAAAAAAAGTGTTATTTTTTTGGTCAACCGTGGTTTGACACACACAGAACCCCATCGCTAGGCTTCAGAGTATTCAAACTAGATTGAATTCTACCTGTGCATGGAAATTTCCCTGTGTTTGGAATGACGTGCAATTCACTCCACCACCCACCCCCACCTCTCCCACCTAACTCCAGAAGGTATTCCTGCACCGGTGGGAGAGTACCAAGGCTTGGGAACTCCCAAAGTGTGTGTTGGGGTACCTCAGGCTTTTAACCGGCTAAGACCCTACGTCTTCCCATTGTGAACACTGTCTGACCAGCTTCCCTTTGCTTGTGTGACGAGGACCACCGTACCTTTAAAGTGCATTGAGCCACAGTGTTAAGAGGAGCCGAGTGCAAAGAGTCCCAGAACAAGTTAGATTGCACACCAAAGGTTTTGGGGACGCAGAGCGCTTCATCATAATTGGAGCCGAGTCGATGATGTAACACAAAAGGGCGTGAGATTCACACTTAAAAAAAAGTGATGATTTCCCACCTATTATGTTATCAGTTTTATCTGGAGAATGGGTGATTGCACTTTCTCCTCTGAGTTAGAAGCTCATGGTTTCAAACCTCATACGTCCCTTTTGTTGTGTTGTTGTTCATGGCTGTTTGTGGGACATTGCTGTCTGCAATTGGGATCCTGTGGGACTTTCAGACATCCTCCTGATGTGAAAGGCGCTATATCAAATGCAGTGGCTATTATTATTATTGATAATGAGAGAAAGAAGGAATTATTTTTGTGACCTTGATTTTCAGGTCTGGCTGGCTTCATGTATTTGAGCCTCGATTATTTCACAGCAGTTCAATTCATGTGAGATGCAATTTGTGGGAGAGATACCATCAGTGCTATCGAATTTCTCCCATCATTAAGAAAACCGCAGTCTGCCACAGTGGCAAAATTGTTTCCAGAATAAATAACCAAATACTGGGGTGAATACCGGCCCAAGTCAAAACATTGTTAGGAAAACTGCTCAGATCTGTCATTTTCAAAGAAAAATTCTCACAACAATAAGCAATGGTTTCGGGCCAGTGAGCAGGACAGCGTACTTGGAAACGGACTTAGCAATGTTAAGGATAATAACATTTCCTCCCTGAGTCACATATTACGGCCGATCTTGGTAGGAAAAGCAACAATTACGATGCACCACGTGGGTCTGAAATGGCACTGATTAATTGCATCAAATCGATGGCAACCACCTCCAAATCTGCACTTTTTAACTCTTGGAGGGTTTGCCACCGAGGTTGCGGGTTCAAACCCCACCTCGGAACTTTGTGCCTTTGTGGAGTCTACACAGTCGAGGCGAATGCACCCCCGCATTGCTTTGCCAGAGGTGCTGTCGTTCAGACGAGACTTTAAACCGAGGCTTTGTCTGTTTGTTTAAGTGGACGTTAAAGATCCCATGGCCCTGTTCGAAAAAAGAGAATTTCTCCAGGTGTCCTGGTCAACAATCCACAGATACAATTGGTCATTCACTGCATGGCTGTTTGTGGGGCATGGTTCTGTACAAGACTGGGCTGGCAGATTGGCCCACAGATATATAGCCACAACACTTCACAGTAAAATCTTGTGACGTGATTTGAGGTATCTCAGTGACATGATAAGACGCTATATTGAATGCAGGGATTCTGTATGCTGTATTTATGATTAAAATTGGCAGGGAGAAAAAGTGAAGCATCACCAGTCAATTAAAAAAAACTCTGGTGATTTATAGCTTGGTTTTCTTGAAAAGTTCAATCAATGGGCACGTGAATATTTTCAAGTGAAAGATTAAAGAGGAC